GTTATTATGTATAATCCATGACATTTTTATACGACCGCAAAAAAATTTTTGTGGTCGTATATTGGTATGACGTTGGCGTCGTCGTCGTCTGTCGTCGTCGTCGTCGTCCGGCGTCGTCCGAAGACACATTGGTTTTCGCACTCTAACTTTAGTTTAAGTGAATGGATCTTTATGAAATTTTACCACAAGGTTCAATACCACAAAAGGAAGGTTGGGATTGATTTTGGGGGTTATGGTAATAACAGTAAAGGAATTAGGGGCCAAAAATAAGCATTTTTGTAACTTCCAGACATAACTTGTGTGTTAGTGTATGGATCTCTCTGACATTGTACCACAAGGTTCCATATCACTAAAGGAATGCTGGGATTGATTTTGGGGGTAATTGCCTCCAAATTTTAGGAATTAGGGGCCAAAAAAGGGGCAAAAAACAAGCATTTTTCTAGTTTCATGACAATAACTTGTGTGTAAGTGTATGGATCTTTCTGAAATTGTACTACAAGGTTCCATATCACAAAGGGAAAGCTGGGTTTGAGTTTGGGGGTAATTGCCCTAAACGTTTAGGAATTTGGGGCCAAAAAGGGGCCAAAAAACACATTTTTTTCTAGTTTCCAGACAATAACTTGTGTTCAAGTGTATGGATCTCTCTGAAATTGTACTGCAAGGTACCATACCACAAAGGGAAGGCTGGGATTGAGTTTGGGGGTGATGAATCATAATGGGGGTTCAAAAAATTTTGGGGGGGGATTTATTTTTTTTTCCTTTTTTTTCTTTTTTTCCTTTTTTGTTTCTTTTAAAATTTTCCATTTTAAGTTGGTTATTTCTGATTTATATTTAAAATCAAATAATAATGATATGGTAGGAGATACACACCAAACAGGATGTGTAAATTATTATATTATAAGTATTGTGCAATAGCAAGAAATTTTCAATTGCACAGTATTGCACAATAGCAAGAAATCTTCAATTGCACAGTATTGCGCAATAGCAAGAAATCTTCAATTGCACAGTATTGCGCAATAGCAAGAAATATCCAATAGCACAATATTGCGCAATAGCAAGAAATTGTCAATTGTACAGTATTGCGCAATAGCAAGAAATATTTAATAGCACAGGATTGTGCAAAAGAAGATACTTCCTATAAATTGCTTATTTCTTGACCAATTTCAATGGGGTTTTATTCTTGATTTCATGGGGTTCTTTAATATGCTGAATATAACCGTGTATTTAGTTTTTGGATTTCGGGCCCCGTTTTTAAATTGGTCCACATTGAGGTCCAAAGGGTCCAAAATTAAACTTTGTTTGATTTCATCAAAAATTGAATTATTGGGGTTCTTTGATATGCCGAATCTAACTGTGTATTTAGATTCTTAAATTTTGGTTCCGTTTTCAAATTGGTCTACATTAAGGTCCAAAGGGTCCAAAATTAAACTTAGTTTGATTTTAACAAAAATTGAATTCTTAGGGTTCTTTGATATGCTGAATCTAAACATGTATTTAGATTTTTGATTATGGGCCCAGTTTTCAAGTTGGTCCAAATCGGGGTCCAAAATTAAACTTTGTTTGATTTCAACAAAAATTGAATATATGGGGTTCTTTGATATGCTGAATCTAACCATGTATTTAGATTTTTGATTTTTGGGCCCCATTATCAACTTTGTCCACATTGAGGTCAAAAGGGTCCAAAATTAAACTTTGTTTGATTTCATCAAAAATTGAATTATTGGGGTTCTTTGATATGCCGAATCTAACCGTGTATTTAGATTCTTAATTTTTGGTTCCGTTTTCAAATTGGTCTACATTAAGGTCCAAAGGGTCCAAAATTAAACTTAGTTTGATTTTAACAAAAATTGAATTCTTAGGGTTCTTTGATATGCTGAATCTAAACATGTATTTAGATTTTTGATTATGGGCCCAGTTTTCAAGTTGGTCCAAATCGGGGTCCAAAATTAAACTTTGTTTGATTTCAACAAAAATTGAATATATGGGGTTCTTTGATATGCTGAATCTAACCATGTATTTAGATTTTTGATTTTTGGGCCCCGTTATCAACTTTGTCCACATTGAGTACAAAAGGGTCCAAAGGGTCCAAAATTAAACTTAGTTTGATTTTAGCAAAAATTGAATTCTTGGGGTTCTTTGATATGCTGAATCTAACCATGTATTTAGATTTTGGATATTGGACCATAATAGGTGAATGTCCAATTTAAAATTTTGAAGTTCTTAGACCACATTCAATCTGTGTTAGAAACCTATGCTGTGTCAAATATTTAATCACAATCCAAATCCAAAGCTGTATCAAGCTTGAATGTTGTGTCCATACTTGCCCCAACTGTTCAGGGTTCGACCTCTGCGGTCGTATCAAGCTGCGCCCTGCGGAGCATTTTATTTCTAGTGATTATGCATAATTCCTGAAAATTTTAGTAATTATATATAATCACTAAAGTTACCAGTGATTATACATAATCCATGAAATTTTCAAGGATTATACATAATCCCTTATTCTACAAATTCACTGTAACATATACATGTAGATATTGCATACATGTGAGAGTACTACTCTACAAGTAAAAAGGTGCTAACAATTGTTGATTAAAACAACACTTTTTCATACCTTCATGTGTATGAAACATTTTATAGCTTGCATTCAATTTGCCTGAGATTTAACCTTTTTACAAAGAAACATCAATTTAAGGAGTATACTGTGAAAAGTAGCAAAAAGGGGGGGAGTAACTCAAATTTTTTGTCAAACATCTTTGAACTACACAAACTACACCAGCAGATGTCTGAAACACCTAGTTGTAACTAAGAACTGGTTTTGTTTGTGACTTTATACATCACTAGGCATTGGTTTAAGTGCTACCAGATGAAAGAAAAACATGGCTTTAATGTAAACAAAAATCATGGAATCAACATTTTCTCTTATTTTGAAGTACTGTTCACTTGATATTCATGATATAACCATCCCTGTTTGGCAATTTTATTGTTAAAGTAAAGACCTGTTGATCATGTTGATTGTACATGGTGCAATTTGGTTTAATGTGACATGAAAGGAAATGAGTGATTTTTTAAAACCCTTTTAGAATCAAAATCTTCCACTGTATCATGTGGTTAATGAGATTTCTCAATTCTTAGTCTTCATAAAAAGACGACCTAATGATTCTGAGGTGGGGACCTGGCATATCTTGGAAATAAATATACTGGCATCAGTAAAGTTGGAAATTACTAATCTTGCCATAACATCTATGAAAATACAGGATCGTTTCTAAATTTCCAGGCACGGTAAACAACATCTCTGTAAAAATGAGGATGTGCTATCCTGTTTGAAATAAGTTTTCTACAGGTACAACCAAACTTCAAAACCAAATCTTTATATCTATGGAAGAATTTAGTAAAGGTAACTTAGGTTTTAAGTAATTTGTGGTAACGAAATCCCTGACTTAATAATTTACCAGTAATACATAGATTACGTTCATTAAAATCTTAAACGTCACAACAGACATGGGCATTTGAATTTTGGTGGCATCACTTATGCTGTTTTAGAGTTAGCCCCTTTACAAATGGAAAAATTGCTGAATTTTACGTTTCCGTTCTCTAACTTAAGTTTGCCTCAACCAAATGTTATGACACTTATACACAATGCTAATTACCACAAGACACAAATCAAGTTTGAATTTTGGTGGCCTCACTTTTACTATTCTAGAGCTATGCCCCTTTACAAATGTAAAAATTTCTGAACGTTTCCGTTCTCTGACTTAAGTTTGCCTCAACCATATGCTATGAAACTTATACACAATGCTTATTACCACAAAAATCAGATCAAGTATCAAAATTTGGGTAGCGTCACTTTTAACGTTCTTGAGTTATGCCCCTTTTATAACGTTGTATGCAAGCGGGGGCATCATCTGTGTCCTATGGACACATTCCCCATTTATTTAAATGTAGCTTATAGTTACAAAATTCAGCTTGCCTGATCTCTTGTTTGTTTACAAAAAGACTTGTCAAAAAAGAAGGAAAAATGACTATCTGAAATATTAAAATACTATGAGTTAAATTATAATGAGTTCAACTTGCTTTGAAAAAAAAGAATGAATTTCTCTTAAATGCATATCTGATTTTATATACATTGTAGCATTCAGTGTTCTAGCTAGGATATGAAGAGCACTTACGTATGGTTTCTTGTCTGAAAAGAGACAACTTCATCATGTTTATAGGTGAAAAAATAAATAAATAATTGAATAAGTCAATTATATTTGCTGGATTTAGAGTATTTTAGGGTTGAAAAAAGCTTTTTCCATTTGTTATAACTAAATTTTTTGCATTGAAAAGTATTTGTTTTCCTACAGAAAACATAAAAATGGGGAATAATAGAGCACAGAAAGGACAGATGGGAGTATATACCTCTCTTTTGGACTAGGCCACACTTAAAAATATTTTGGTTTGCCCAAACCCTACCCAAAGGTAGAGATAGTAGGTAGGTAGGTAGGCATTTTCTTCTTTTTTCTACGACAAAGAGAAATTGAAGTGTCATATGGTTTTTAGTCTTCATGACTATCTGATTAAAAAAAAACTTTTTCACATCAGGACAATAAAAGATTTTGAGTAGGCAGCTATTTTCTGGGTAGGTAGGGTTAGAGTAAACAAACATATTCTTTTTTATGGCCATAGCTAGAACATTGAATCACTGAATGCCAATCATCATTTATATAATTTAGTAACATCAAGCTTAACAAGCATCAACGGTTTATGCCAAAAAATAAAAATGGTGGTTATGTACCAATTGAATTTCCAAATAATCTTTAAATATCTTTGGAGGTATTCATATTACATTGATATGCCTGGTAACCATATATATACATTTGATATCATTATCATTGACTGTTTTGGTTTTTTTTTTGCATTATACTAGATACACTGAAAAATTCTACTAAATTTAAGCTCTAGAAAAAGATGGAATTTTTATGTAGTTATAAATAATTAGCATGACTTCTTATTGTTTGTAGAACCATCAAGAGGCATTAGGATGAAATCCCTAATATTGGTGCTGTTGATGTTACACATGACTAACCAGATCAAGTATGACTATGAAACGTGTGATAATTGTGCATCAGTTCTCTGTGTGGTGATGAAAATATGTTTTTGTGACGGTGGTAATATATCTTTTAATCATTACGCATTCAGTCACTTAGTCTTTAAAAACAAAATCACAATAACCTGCTGCTCTTCTGTAGCTTTTTAAAGTTTATTTTAGAGAAGAGCTATTTCACCATTTTGAGTTAACCATATGTCATCTTTCTATCAGTTACTGAGTGGTCTTAGTAGTTGAACTAATGTATCTCTAGACTGTGAACACTTAGGTCGTGAGTTTGAACTGAACATGAGGCCTGTGCGTTTGACTCCAATCTTAATTGGCTATGATTGTCAGTTTTCCTGTGTTCTCTCTTGGCACTCCTGCTTCCTCCACCAATAAAAATTGGCCGCCACAAAATAGCCATTGTGTTAAAATAGGTGTTAAACACCAAAAATCATCATCTATCAGTCAGAGTCATTGGTCATTTGTTCTTCTGATATTGCATCCTATTTTAGGTTGCACTTCTTTAAATATAGACAATGCAATTTCCCATAGGAACTCCCTTTACGGCTAAAACTGTGCCACTTCTACTATGAAGTTTTATTAAAATTATATCCTAGAATGGAAAGTTGATATGCATTACTATTTTATTCAAAGATCAAAACATAGGGCTGTTCAGCATATTTCCAACATTTACATGCCCCGAACTTCTAAGAGTTTAAACTTATACTTACCTAAAGTTCTGTACTACCCCTCCCTTCACTTTGGGTCTTTCTCAGAATTCAATATCGTCGCTACCATGTGTATTTATACTGGTAACATTCTCAAGATATGTCTCTATGAGATGATATCTGGGAACCAGTATGTGCACAAAACAAAATATCTATGAATATTATATATCTCCCCAAAAGAGGCATGGTTTGTGAAACAGCTGTATTTACAAAGTGCAACCTTTAACCTCCTCTAATAAAGTACAATATTTAGATAATGTATGCAAAAAGTCTTTTACAATAAAATCAAATTTAATTTGGGTTTCCATTTAATTTGAGAACTTCAAATCTGCTGGACCAATCCTTATAAAGTTGAACATAATGTTTTTGGACACAAAAAGAAGAGTGGTATTGCTTCAGACTGTTCTTACCTTACCAATTCGCAAGAACCAATTTGCAAATAGTCATCAGAACTTACATATAAAACAATGTACAGTATGGCTAATTTCTCCCATTTTTTTTTTCAGATTGGGATATTTGTAATGTTTATATTTTCAAAGACGAAGTTTTGAATATGACTTGCACTTTAAGGGACAAAGGCATCAACTCATCAGATTTATATGTTACTTATGGGAAAGGAACTGAAGTATCAAAAAATGAAATGGTGGTAATTAATAACTCTTCATTGAGACTGACAAAACATATGAATTCCATGGAACAGGTTGGACATTCAAAATTTGTCTGTATGAACGGCAATAAAACAATAGTAGATACAACAGATGTTACAGTTGATTGTAAGTAAAATGTTCAATATATTGTTTACATGGTTAATTGAGTGATACCATTAACTTAGGAAATTTTGCTATTTTATTTCAGTATTTTGATCTTTTATGTCTGTTAGAATTATTCAGATAACCTTGTGTTTTAAAAAACTGCTTTTTGAACATGAAATTAAAAAATTATGATAGAAAAAATTAATAAAAATTGCTTCAATTTAGTTTCACATCAATTAAATACTGAAATAGCCAAATTACCCGATATATCACTTCAAGAAAGCTATTTTTCAAAGTTTTCTATATTATTATTATCCTCTTTTGTAAATCAGTTACAGCTTGATGCTTGTCCCTTCAAAGGGCAAACACATCCAATGTAAAAATGTCAGCTGGTAGGGGACATTGAACTGCATAGACAATAAATACCATCATAATGCTTGTTCATATTTATAGTGATCTGGACAGAGAAATGGAGCATCACCATACAATGTAGCTTTTCCAGCTTTTCAGACATAACATTTGTCCCCATTTGCTTGTTTGAATCTATGGTTACATGTAATGCTCATATATTTCATGCTTACATGTACATGAATTATATTTTACTTAATGAGTTTGATTTCATTCCGGTTTAAAAGTAGGAAGGTAACCTACATATTTTATTATGGATTGAGATATTCCTGTCACATTGACAAATCTAGAATATAACTGACTACTGTGGATTCATTATTATTCGTTGGATACCAATTTTCGTGGATTTCGTGGGTACAGATGAACCATGAAATTAAATTTTCAATGAATAACAAATTTTCTATAGGCTTGTATGCAGACTTCGGCAAAACCATGAATTTAAATATCCATGAACATGTAAGTTTTCCTTAATCCAAGAAAAATGGTATCCCTGAAAATAAATGAATTCACAGCATTTAATTTAAAGGTTAAGATACACTAAGTTTTATTAATGCCTTCATTTGTCATAATCCTTTTCTTCTAGAAAATGATATTAACACTTCTAACATTTAGTACCTCAGAAGCCCTTTTCTGGATTCACATTTATCAGGAACACTCAATCCCATATATTTAAAAGCAAGAGATGTATATATACTTTAACTGCTCCTCATCATCCCCCATCAATGTAGTAGCTTTTGCCTATCAAGTTAAAATTAATTTTAAGACTATTGAGCAAAATCTATGCTACAGACAGTTTCATATACTTGTACTTGTGATAAACATGTAAATAAAAATTCTAAATTAATCGGAAGCTGAAAACTTTTATCTGTTAAAAGGTTTTCAGGAGGAGTCATGTGCATGTTAAAACGAAGGCCCAAAATCACTAAATCCATTAAAAAAATAACATTTTAATTTGCTCTTATCCACAGACAAGTTATTCATAACATGTCAATCAGCATGAAATTATGAGATCTAATATTAATTGATTTGACTCATAATGTTGTATTTTCAGACCCTCCATCTCCTATTGAGAATTTTAGTTGTATCATATATAACTGGGACAAAGGAATGAATTGTACCTGGGATCTTGGAGTTAAATATTACAACAAGTTAACTATTACAGTTTCCTTGCTCATGTAAGTATATCAAGGATATATTTTTTTTCTTAAAACTGCACACATTTTGTACCTGTATTCATTAAATTTTTGAAATATACATACTATTCTGACAATTAATTGGTTTGCCAAAATAGGACTGTATATTAATGTGATGTAGAAATAAATACGTCAGAATGAGTTCATCGAGAAAATAAGTTAATACTGAGCACTACGGTATATGAGCTATACAGAAATGGAATATGTTTTTACTGTGACTTGACTGTTAGTGTTGCTCTCCACCTATTGCAACTTATTCAAATTTCTGACCAAATTGCAATTTGTTTTATAAAACCAAACTGCTCAACTGGTCAGAAATTTGAACAAACTGCTGTAGAAAACCACAGTAAAGTCGTGAAAGTGCAAGGTGATAAAATAAAGCATACTTACAATCCCATTAGACTTTAATTCCACTTCAATGTTATTATAAAAAATCAGTCTAACATTTTGTATAGAAATTTTAATGTTATTGTCATGCTAAAGGTGATAGGTAGTAATTTTGAATTGCTATAAAAATGTCCAAACTAAACTTTCATACAATTTTCTTTCGAAAAGTCTTTTATATTCATAAGAATCAGACATCATTTGAATTAAAACACTTTATATTCAGTAAAATATATGTGAAATTACAATACGTTGTTAATAAGTTTCCAAGGGAGATATCCTAAAACATTATTCTTTTGAATATAGAAGACTTTTCGAAAGAAAAATTTATTATCTCCCATGGAAACTTCCTGACAACGTGTTGTAATTTCACATATATTTTACTGAATATAAGATTTTCGAAATACTAAGGATTTTCAAACCCTGGAATAGATTACCTTATCTTTATTTGGCAAAACATTAGAAGTTTTGATTTCTCAATGATGTTCAACTTTGTACTTTATTTGGCCTTTTTAACGTTTTTTATTCGATTGCACTGATGAGTCTTTGACACGAATCTGGCATACAAAATTTTTATCCTGGATCTATGGTGAGTTTATTGATAGAAATAGTATTTTTACACATAGGTACATGTGAGAGCACTGGTATACTTTATTTTACTTATAGGAAGAGTGGCGATATTACTAGACAGTACAATCCTGCTTGTGACCGAGATAAAAATGAAAATATTGTTTGTAACTACACATGGAACCAAACTGACCATGTAACGTTTGATAGAAGTTTTCTGAACTTCACTGTTAATGTTACAAATACTTGTTGTACCAAAGTTCCTGTTGCCAAGCAAACCGAAAATTTAATCATCATTCAAAAAGAAAATGGTAAAAATTTATCGCAGCATGTGTTTATATCAGCTTTTTCTTATTTTTTTTGCACATTTATAGCCAGCATGATGTTTAGGATAGTATCTATTGTTGCTTCTCTTGCATAGTTTATTAGGAACATTGGCGAATAAAACTTTTTTTCTTGTTGCAAACTTCTGAAATGCATGCCTGTCAACCTCTGAAGCTGAAAATACAGGTCATACCCTGCATTGAAGAAGAAATTGTCAGGTCATAACGCGTACAAACTTTTTCGGTCCAATTTTAGTATTGAGAGTTTTTTTTATATACTTTTAACATATACATGTACCACTGAGTTTCCTAAAAATAATCACTTTTGTATTTGTTAAGTATATAAATATTTATCATTAATTAAATATCTTTCTAAAGCAATGCCCTTTTATTGTTTTATTCACACTAGTTTACTTCTTTTTACTAATGAATGTCATAAACCCCAGCTATACATGTAATTAGAAATCAATTATAGCTAATGTGCTCCTATACGCAGGAGGAAGATAAATAGAAAGAAGTAAGTGTGTTTCCTTTGAGTGTAATATCTAGAGCATATGGATATGATTTAAAGCTTTTACGTTTAAGTGATAACAAAATTATTCTCTCTAACAGAAATGTATTAAAAGGTTCAAATTGTTTTAAAATGATTTTTACAGGATATTAAATATTTGCAAACGGCAAATCTTTTAATCAAGACATAGAATTGTATGTCAAGCTTGACTGGCTTCAACTTTCTGTGGTACAATTAACAAACAATCCTTGAATTGATACTTTTCAATCAAATGTAATGGTTTGATAGCTGTCATTGGCACGGTAAATAATTTCAAATGTTTACCTTTTCAAATGAAAAATGCAGAGAAAGCTGAAAGTATATTTGACTTCTAAATACCGGAAACAATACCGGTCAGAAATACGGGTGAAAACAGGTAATTTTCTGAAATCCCGGGTTATTTGAATACCCAGCGGGTATTTAAAAAATCCTGTGTGAAGGGGGAAATACTTGGTTGTGCCCCGCAGAATACGGGTCAGTTGACAGCTATGGAAATGATGAAAAGTGGTTTATTTTAGCAATGGTTTACTTTTTGTGATTTCTAATTCTTAGCCTGTTAGTGAGATTTTATTTTCATGTTATCTCCATGGTTCTAATAATCAGTAAAGGTTCATGAAAGGACATTTTTTCTTGGAATTTTTTTTTTCTCTTTGGTGAAACTAGCAAAAATAAACCACTTACGAAAATATTCCACTTAGTTACAGTAATTTAGCTTAGAATTCAGACAAACTTAAGGTATTGTAGACTGGTGTTTTTTCAAAGACATTTTGATTTTCAGTGCTAGATTTTTATATGGCCGCAAAAAATTTTTTGGGATCGTATAATGGTATGATGTCGTCGTCCGAAGACACATTGGTTTCCGGGCAATAACTTTAGTTTAAGTGAATGGATCTCTATGAAATTTTTAAGAAGGTTCAATACCACAAAAGGAAGGTTGGGATTGATTTTGGGGATGATGGTCCCAACCGTTTAGGAATTAGGGGCCCAAAAAGGGGCCAAAAACAAGCATTTTTCTAGTTTCAGGATAATAACTTGTGTAAAAGTATTTCGATTGCTCTGAAATTGTACCACAATGTTTAATTCATTTTAGGAGTTATGGGGCCAACAGTTTAGGAATTAAGGGCCAAAAAGGGGCCAAAAACAAGCATTTTTCTAGTTTCCAGACAATAACTTGTGTGTAAGTGTATGGATCTCTCTGACATTGTACAACAAGGTTCCATATAACAAAGGGAAGGCTGGGATTGAGTTTGGGGTTAATTTTTCCAAACATGATGGTATTATGGACCAAAAAAGGGCCAAAAACAAGCATTTTTCTAGTTTCCAGACAATAACTTGTGTGTAAGTGTATGGATCTCTCTGAAACTGTACTACAAGGTTCCATACTACAAAGGAAAGGCTGGGATTGAGTTTTGGGGTTATTGCTCCAAGGGGGGTTTCAAAAAGGGGGGGGGGGGGGGATTTTTTTCCCAATTTTTTTAAGGGATTAATATTTTTTTTTAAAAATTTTAAAAATTTCGAATTTTTGAAAAGTTTCAAGAAGAAATCTTCAATTGCACAGTATTGCGCAATGGATTTATAAGATCTTTGACCACATTTATTTTGTGTCAGAAACCTACATTATGTCAAAAATTTGATCACAATCCAAATTCAGACGTATCAAGCTTGAATATTGTGTCCAAATTTGCCCCAACTGTTCAGGGTTCGACCTCTGCGGTCGTATCAGGCTGCGCTCAGCAAAGCATTTTATTAGTGAATACTTCAAACCAAAAACCTTATACAGAAAATTGAATATGTACGATCTGTATCTCAAGCCATGCAGATTTACTTCCTGATCTGTTTTCTGATAAGAGTCTTACTGTAACACAATGCATAGTGGATGAGATCAATCCTTGATTAGGCTGTATTGTGCTACTTATCAATGGTATATTAGCCATTTACAGTCATACACTCACACCTTTTTTTGGATCAGGACATGTCATATACAATTTTTATGCTCCCCATAAAAGTTGTCCATGGCATATACCTCACCTTGTCTGTTTATTGATACATTTGTCCATCCCTGTAACCGACACGGAGGCATTCAGGAAGATAGCTTGAGTTTCCCTTGATTGATTGATAGGAAACTTATACAGATTGAAAACTGTGTCAGGGAAAGAGTTCTGTTGATTTTTCCATGGTCACTATTACTACATTTAAGGAAACTTTTGACAATATTTTTATTCCAGATGGTAATTTGAGTTTCTTTTATTGATTTAAAATGAAACTTGTATAGATTGAAGATATAATAAGGGAAGAATCCTCTCAATTTTGTAGTTAAGAGGTAAAATTGACTGCTGCTAAAAAATGACATGATATGTGTGATTTCTTGAGGTACACTTTGTATGCCTACAATAGTAGGAGGCATTATATAATTCTGGTCTGTGAGTCTATCCTGTACCAGGTAAAAGTTTGTGGTTATGGTAGTATACAATGAAGTTGTGTTCAAATCAAGATGTGGTATGATTGTCATTGAGACAACTCTACACCAGAGACCAAATAATGTAGAGATTAACAACTATAGGTCACCGTAAGGCCTTCAACAATTAATGAACATAACACATACCACATTGTAAGATATAAAAGGCCATGAAAAGATAAATGTAAAACAGTTCAAACAAGAAAACTAAAAGCCTGATTTATGTACAAATAAATAAACAAACAAAAATGTGATATACAGCAACAAATGACAACCGCTGAATTACAGGCTCCTGACTTGGGGACAGACACATACATAATATCGGGAGGTTAAACATGTTTACTGGTGCCAAACCCTCCCCCTAACCTGGGACAGTGGTGTAACAGGATAACATCAGAACGACTATAGAATCAGTTAAAAAGGGCTTAACTCATCAGATCGATGTTCATTGTGGGTGAACTTATAAAATTATATGTCTAATTGCAATTTTTACACTGATTTCACAGTCCAATGAACTATGACATGATAGTGTGGGCAGGACATTGTGTTCTATGGACAAAATAATTAAATTATTTTTTTTAAATAAAATGTAAACAAGTGCTTATAAGTAAGAAAGGAAAGCAGCCTATTAATTTTAAGGTCAGTTGGTTGAAAGTGATTATGAAATATTTCTGATATCTATTACTGTATTATAATTAGAAATGGGAGAGATCACATATCATACAAATTTCCTCTCACATGATGTTTGTGAGTTATTGAAACACAATCCAATTACAATGTCACTTGACTTTAATTTATTACTAAGTGTTTAAAGTGATTTGATCCTGAAATCTGAAGGAATTCTCTTGAATAAAAGGATGTCAGAGATCAAATGATAGCTGGAAATTTACTTGAAATTTAATAAAGGCCAAATTAAAAATGAAAGTATCTTTGTTGTCCTGAAATTTAAAAATGAGAACATGTTTGAAAAGGGTTGATGATATTTGACATTTACAGTCTTTCTGATAGCTGGAATAGTGTCTGAATTGTACAATGAAATTTTGATTTGATTTGATTTAAATAATACATTGTTATTGTAATTTTTCATTGAATAATTTTGTAAATGTACTCAAACTAAAGATGCAGCTACCTCAGTCAAAGTTTATCTTGAGAGTTTTGTTTATGGCTATTTGATATGTATAATAGTGGATATTGTGTATGTCAAGAAGACAGCAATCCATTGATACAACACAACTGAAAAATAAAACAATTTAAGAGATTTTCATTCAGCAAATGTTTTTTTGTCGTTGTCTTTAGTGACCTATTTAGGATAATATTGGAAATCTTTGAAGCTTGCTCTGTTCTTAATCATTACTGCCATTAGTATTGTTTTATGAAGCATTATTAGAAAAAAATATATGTATTCACGGCTTTAAAATAGTATTTCTAATTTGTATACTCGGCATGAACTAATATTTGCACATTGTTGGAATCAAATTCAATCGCACAAAAAGATTTTATTTCAGCATATATATAAAAGGAAAATTATATACATCATGCAGAAATCCTTAGTTTGTATATGGTATACCATTATACATTTTTTATTTTGGTTGAATTACTTCAAATCATAATCAGAGCATTTTAAAGAACTAAAGCTGTTATAACATTAACCATCCATGTACATGTGTTCACCAGATTTCTTGCAACTGTGCAATTTGATTTAAATTTTATCAAGGGCTATATATATATATATAAGAAATTGTTAAACCCAAAATAAGTCAGGTGAATCAGTTTGATACAAGTGCATAACCTTAATCACTTATATTAATTTGAACTAGTTAAAGGGGCACTAGCTACGAGATATATAAAAAATTTAAAATATGATTTTTTTTGTTTAATCATTAATGAAAGAAAAATAGTGAAATAATAATTCGCTTTTAGCAGCAAATATGGTTCAATTTTGTAAAGAACTAAAGCTGTTATAACATTAACCATAGATATAATAGCCATAGATAAAGTACTGAACCCACATCAAAAGCAGATGATATTTGCCGAAATTTTATCACCCTCTTTTTATATACATGTCACACTTTGTGTTAATTAGCCTTTATTGGCAATTGCTGTCGATTAATAATAAATGGTGAACCGGGAGAGTAATATGTCATTCTTCAGTAGTTATCGTAATCTTTCGGTACATCATTTACATGGTAGTTCCTGAAAGTGGAATTTTATTATAAAGCAATGCGAGAAAGAAAAAAGAAGGAGATACATACGTACAAATGACACTTAACACCTTACCTCTTTGTATTAATACAAGACTACTTGAGTGTAAAACTATTTTGTTAAAAATAGGTTATTTGATACAGTTTTATTTTGTATATACTTTTCATTATACAAGGTGTGATTCCTCGTCATTTTGTTTGGAATGTTTATATACGTGCTTAAAATGCAAGTAAAGATGACCGATATTTACATGGTTCCTATTAGTCCTGAATATGCATCAAATATTTGCCACTGAATGTTGTGAATCAATGATCATGTCATCAATCACTGTAATTGAAAATACACAAAACTGGGTTCATACCAAACCAAAGAAGTGATATAAATAAAGTACACAAAAAGAACGTTGACAACTGAACAGGCAGACTTACAGAGGGATATATATAGCTTATTTATGGTATGAATAATACCTCTAGCACAATTGTAAGAAGGAAGGGAAAATAAACCATGAATGACACAGGACAAAACTCCTATATTTTAATTTTCTCATTGCCATTATAACGCTTAATATATATATTGTTTACTTCAAAAATGAAATCGACCATCAGAATATACCACCAGCTATTTAATTGCAAAACAAGCACGAAAAATGGTAAGCGGAAAGGTATATAGAAGAAAAAAATTCAGAAACATGTGCCTGTGCTATTTCCCAATTATTTATTGTATTTTAGTAATGTCCACCACATACGTTTTCTTCACCAACGTTGAAAAGATTGAAATATGCGATGTTAAGATTTGAATAAGAGGAACTACATGGCAAAATATAGAAGAAGATATATTAAAAGATGTTGATAAATGTTTTACTGATATATTAAAAACAACATTATATATACACAAATAAAATATTTGCAAATTATTTTTTTGATGTCAAGTCTGAGTTTTTGTTTTATACCCTCTTCCACTGTAAATTTAAGCTGAAACTCAGTAAGAATAAATTTTTGACATGACAATGATATCACTGATTTGAGATTTAAACAAATAACATTCAATAAAATCAAGTGACATGGAAATTTCTATTGTAAGTATATTTAAGCAACTAGCTCAAGCTTTTATAATCCACAGTGCAGACATTTAATAAGTTTATAATGTATTCCTTTTTTATACGCCCGTTTACGGGACGTATTATGGTATACCGTTGTCCGTCTGTCCGTCCGTCCGTCTGTCCGTCTGTCCGTCCGTCTGTCCGTCGTCAACATGTCGGACATTAACTCAAAATTGCTTAAACCAATTTGCATAAAACTTTGGTGAATTGTTTATATCTATTGACGTGAGCTCCCTTTCGTTTTTTATAAAATTTAGATTTTACGTTTCCGAGTTATGGGGTTTTATTCATTAAAAAAAGGGGGATTTTCCAGTTTTCGGACAATAAGTCAAGAATGCTTTCACCAACTTGCAAGAAATTGTGGTGAATTGTTTATATCTATTGACATGAGCTCCCTTTTGATTTTTATAAATTTTAGATTTTACGTTTCCGAGTTACGGGGTTTTATTCATAAAAAAAGGGGGGACTTTCCAGTTATCATACAAAAACTCACAAATGCTTTCAGCAATTCTTATGAAACTTTGGTGAATTGTTTGTATGTATTGATGTAAGCTCCCTTTAGAATTTTATAAATTTTACATTTTACATTTCTGAGTTATGGGGTTTTATTCATTAAAAAGGGGTGATTTTCCAGTTTTCTGACAATAACTCAAAAATGCTGTCACTAATTCTCATGAAACTTTGGTGAATTGTTTATATCTATTGATGTAAGCTCCCTTTTTATTTTCATAAATTTCTAATATGACATTGAGAATTAATTATACTTTATTTGTTTATAGTCTGACAACAGATTTACTAAGTATTGCACAACAGCAAGAAATCTTTAATTGAACATAAATTCAATTCATATAACCAATTTCAAGTTCTTTGAATACATTTATTCAGACACCTATAATATGTCAAATATTTGATTACAATCCAAATTCAGACCTGAATCAAGCTTGAATATTGTGTCCATTTTTGCCCCAACTGTTCAGGGTTGGACCTCTGCGGGCGTATCTAGCTGCGCTCAGCGAAGCAGTTTATTTCTCTTTATTTTCAAAAACTTTGTGTTACCGTAACTACAGAAAGTTTCAACACTTGTAAGATCTTTTTTTTTTCTAAAAAAAATATTAATTTCTTCCTTCTGGCATAAAATAGGATTTCACTATTTTGAATCTCGATAAAATCTTTTTTCTTTAAATCGCCATAGAAAAATTCGACTTGGTTCGACCTCTTAACCACGGATATCATCAGTAAACGATATGTCTCCTCTTGTCAATCATACAGGTCTTATTTCCCTAGTGCAACCAATGCAAGTGCTATGACAATTTAATTTTATATACATGTTAAGTCCATTTTTCTATGATTTCTTTATTTTATTATTTAGACAACAGCATAACCTTCTCATTTGTGGACCGATTTTCTCCAAATAAATTACAATCCAAACAACTTTTACAATCAGAAGCTTCTTATTGCGTCCGCCTTCTGGCATATTTTTACTTGAGACAGGTAACACACATTAATTATTGGCTGATAAGACAAGTGCCCGATAATTTAAACATAAATATGATAAGTAATTAGTCTATTGGGAGGATATCGGCAAATATCATCTACATCACAGGCCACTACGTGCAGTGCCGTGCTTTTGATATTTCAAAGGAAACTACATGGGGCTTAGTGGGACATATTCTGATTACTTTATCTATGGCTGTTATATCTATGCATTAACCATCCATGTCTTCACCAGATTTCTTGCAACTGTGCAATTTGATTTAAATTTTATCAAGGCTATATATATATATATATTTAAATCACAGCCTTTATGTAACAGATTATAAAGGCTCTTTATGAGTCATTATCATATAATATTAAATATTAATTATTATAAACATTTTTTTTTTGTGCATACAATGCAGGCATTGAAATATTAAAGGTTTAACTGGTAACAAAGAAAAAACTCACTTTAAAGCATTCTGAAAAGTTTACATGTAGCATTTATTCTTTTGCATTTTATCACAAGACTTATTTGTCAGATGTACAAAATTGCATTTAAAAAACCAACAATTTTTGGGGCTATTTTAGTATATTTATTATAAATGATTCAATATGGAAAACTGGTAGCACAAAACATTTAATATTAATGATTGATATGAGAAATATAAGATACTAACAATGTATATGTGATTTTCAGTGAAACCTGATAAAGTACACAATGTTACAGTGGCTTCAGTAAAAAGTACCTGTGTTTCACTGAACTGGGATCACCGCAAGCAAAACAGAAGTAAATTATTCACTGTTAGAGCTACTACAAATGGCTCTTACTGGGATGATGCCCAGGTGAATATATTAACAATATGTATACTATTCAGTAGTGTATTTTGACAGTGTTTTAATTTCACAAAATAAAATAAAACCTAAAAATAAAACCTAAAAATAAAACCTCAAGAACAGGTTTTGTTTTTATGTTTTTTCTTTATCATAAACCGGATTCATGTACTGAGACTGAAGCAGATTTTCCTTCTTTTCTATTGATATATACTCTGGTGTGGATAAACCAAGTGATAATCAGCAAATTTTTAAGAAAGAACACAAAAAAGGGAATTGTTTTAAGATGCATATGTTTATGAGTTCAATTTCTTCATTCATAGAGATCTAGATGAAGCCCTTTTTTAATGGAAATAAACTGAACAACAAAGTACAACTGCGACTTTATACACAAAAACATGTAAATGTTAGTTGTTGAATTTATCACTTAACTAAAGTAGAAATGTTTCAAATTTTACATATTACTTTCTGTCGAACTCTGGATGAATTTTTTCATGCTCTTCATTGGCAATTTTGGTCTCAGCAGTTATCAATTTATCAAATATCTCTAATAGAAATCAAAATAAGGTACATAATGACCAATTGGTTAGAATTGTACTCTAAGATTTTGAGGACAAACACTCTAAGACAATTCATTCTTTATTTGTATAATTTCCAGCAGGAAGAAACACAAGATACCAGTTTAACTGTTTGTGACTTGAAGCCATACACAAGATATAATTTCTCCATTGAAACTAGACCAGGCAAAGATGTAGGCTATCCAGGTGATCCTGTTTACATCTCAGCCAATACTGATATGGATAGTAAGATGTATTTTAAGATAATGTGTAAAAACAACAGAGTCCTTAGCAGCATTCTCCACTCTTAGCATTGGGAGATATTTTGTTAGAAACCAACTGTTGATTAAATTCTTGTTAATGATTTCTCACAAAAAGTATCTGGTACATTACACTGGGACTTTCTAATCAAAACCATTAGAAAAACAGAAGTACAACTGTCAAATTGCGTGCATTTATTATTGCGATTTTTGAAGAATGGACATAAATGCAAGATTCTTTATTACGATTTCAGGAAATGCTGCATATAGATACATGTAACAGATATCAGAATGCGAGTTCTTATTATTGCTATACTAACCCAGCTGCATTATCTGCATTAATAAAAACATCACAATAATTTCTGAATTTTCATTACTTTATCACATTAATTATAAAACTTATCCAAACTTTTTAGTTCTATTCAATGCTAGGCATTGGTTGGAAAAGTCCAAAACCAGCTTATGGTACAGTGATGTCAGAGGAGCTAGCGGGAGTGTCAGTAACATATTACATATCATAACTTTAATTAATCCTAGCAGAAAAATGAAAACAAACATTGTTTAAAAAGAGAGAATATATCATGAAGATTTCAAATATGAATTATTGAAATTATGTGAAAACCAGGGGAATGAATGAAAAAAAGATACAGGTAAACATAAATGAGACAACACTTTAAACACTACAATCTGATATTTGTGTTATTTTAGAACCATCCAGACCACCTGAATTTGTGAACAGTGGCTATCAAGTGATGGATGAAGATTGCATCAATAATGCCCGCAGAATAACAGTTCTTTGGAAGGTATTTAGATTTAAAGAATAACAGTACTGTAGTTGAAGAGTTGCCACCGTCAATTGGCGATTTGATGGTCGCAAATGCAGTTTTACTGGCGACGCGTAGCAGAGATAGTAAAACAGAAATTTGCAACCGTCAAATCAAAATTGACGGTGGCAACTCTTCAACTACAGTACTGTTATTCCGATTCTAATGCAAAAAGAAACAATATGTTAGAGCTTGAAAAAATGTATAAATTTGAAATAAAATAAAATTCCACGAAACTTCATGAATGATTTTGACGCAAAGACGTCATGGCTAAACGTGACATCATACAAATGAAAACTTTCAAATTGAAGGTTATTATGTTACTTCTACAATTCAAATTTGGATAAAATCACATCAAAACGGCGATTTTGAGGTAGGTGTTGTTTTATTTTCGATAATTTTGTAATAATTGATAGTTGTTGATCCCAGCAATTCAAAATGGCGGGTCCCTCCTAAGTTACAACCTGGCAACTGTGGATTTGATGGTAACTTATAGCCAATGAAAAAAATTGTTACATAAAAATTGCATTAGAATCTTTATTTTAGCCAGATGTTAATGAAACTTTACATCATTGTAGAACACCACATTAGGATTTGCATAAAGGAATATAATCCTGGTCCAACATGGTAAAGGGGAGACAATCAAATTTATTTACCAGTATAATAATATTATTGCAGGGTTGGGGTATCCTTTTGTGAGTTCACTCACAGTTCTTACTAGTTTCATTTCTTATGATCTTCTACCAGAAACCACTTAACTACAGGACCTCACAAGGAATCCTGTTTCCTGTTGAATACCTAAAATCAAATATGGCTACCACCAAGAAAACTCATTTTGACATTGAACTGATGTGATTTACAGGTAGTCAGCTTATTTTCCAGAACATTCTTTGATATGTACTTTGCTTTACCCATGTTTTTGCAAATTTGAAGCTCAGGAAGATGTCAAAATGAAAATTACTCTCTCAGTTCTCTTACCTTCAAGTAACAAGGACATGAAATTTCAGTCCGATATTTAATATATCAATATAACTCAGATGTATTTGTAGAACAAGTGTTGACAGATAAATACAGATTGATACTTTGGGATATTTCATGTTGGTCAGATTATTGTCCTTAGAGACATGACAGGATATTTCATGTTGGTCTGATTATTGTCCTTAGAGACATGACAGGATATTTCATGTTGGTCTGATTATTGTCCTTAGAGACATGACAGGATATTTCATGTTAGTCTGATTATTGTCCTTAGAGACATGACAGGATATTTCATGTTGGTCTGATTATTGTCCTTAGAGACATGATAGGATATTTCATGTTGGTCTGATTATTGTCCTTAGAGACATGACAGGATATTTCATGTTGGTCTGATTATTGTCCTTAGAGACATGACAGGATATTTCATGTTGGTCCGATTATTGTCCCTAGAGACATGACAGGATATTTCATGTTGGTCTGATTATTGTCCTTAGAGACATGACAGGATATTTCATGTTGATCTGATTATTGTCCTTAGAGACTTGACAATAGTGACAGCAACTGTAATTTCTGTGTAGCAATCGCATTATTCCTATCCCATGCATGGATATATTCTCATATCTGATATTGTATACACAAAAAAATTACATAAAACGTATAGAAAAGAGTTGGGTGTTTTGAAATACTTTTACTATGCTGATATATTCCTTAAGTCTACATCTGATTAAGGGGAGTCCACTGTATATGCTTTATCCTTAACTGCTTCATTGTCTTCAGAATTACTGTTAGCCAATGTCCAATGAGTGCTAATGCTCCATGGAAATGACAGGTTCTGTTAATATTATTAATGTGGCCTGAAGAGGAAAAAACACTGAATTGCATGAACATTTAAATTTGACCTCTGAAGGGCACAAATGATAAAATAAAAAGTTAATCTTAGGGGGATAATCAATGTTGTTTTTTAATGCTGTGTTTCTTTAAAGGGCTCTGTCTGTTAATCTGGAGAAGGACTATCGTAACGGGCATGTTCCTGTGTGTGTGTTTGTCAATCATAAATTATTTCCACGGTATTATACGCTATTGAACATTATATTACTGAGTGTATGATAGCACTGTATTGAACATTATATTACTGAGTGTATGATAGCACTGTATTGAACATTATATAACTGAGTGTATGATAGCACTGTATTGAACATTATATAACTGAGTGTATCATAGCACTGTATATAGAAAATATTTTTAATTTTTTAGGCTATAGCTGAAGAGTATCAGAATGGTCCTTTTCTTGGATATTATATATCAGCATCTAGTCCTAATGATGGTCTATTTAAAGAATATCATGCTAATAGTTCTGGTTCAGACCACCAGCAGCAGCCAATGGATATTCTATGTGACCAACCAATAACTATTACCATGAAGTCATGGGGCAAGGCAGGCTATTCTAATACATCAACTATCGTCATACCAAAGGCTAATTGTAAGTTATCTTATTTTAGTTGTGTACAGTAATTCTTATTTATTTTCTTTAGTATGAAGCATACATGTGATTCCCATATTTCTCACAACTTATCAGTGAAGTTTAAAAACTGGGGGCCTCATTGGCCGAGTGGTCTAAGTAGTGGAACTACTATAGCTTGTCAACACTGAGGTTGTGAGTTCAAATCTCGCAAGTGGCATGTGTGCTTGACTCCAATCTTAATTGAATTGGATTGTCAGTTTTACTATTGAAGGTTGGTGATTCTCTTTGGGCACTCCAGCTTCCTCCGCGAATAAAAACTGACAGCCACGAAATAGCACAATAGTGCTGAAAGTGGCGTTTAACACATATCAATCAATAATTAAAGAACTGTTGATGATGCCCATAATAGCAATAAAATATGACTGCTACTGATTAATAAGATAACAGGTCACTGTAGCAAATTAATTCCAGATAGGAGATTTAGGCTCTAAGGAGTGATTTTGGTAGTTTTGCCCCTTAAAGTCGCATCCTTTTTAGTATTAATAGTTCTTGTTTATTGCCTATCTAGATGTTACCCTGATCACTTTCTCTTTTACTTAATTCAAGCAAATTTAAACTAAAAGTAATGTCACTTTCTTTAGTACTAAAGAAAAATTTTAAAGTGATTCAACTTTTGTGTGTGCAGTCTAATTTTTTTTTACTGACAACAAATTCAAACATTTAATGTATTTTTAATGTGAATTAAATAAACTCAATTATTCTGATTTCTGCATTTATATTAAAATAAATTTTACCATTACAGGACAACTTTTATTGTTCTTCCATGCACACTCAAAAGATCTGGGGTGACATCTTATGGAATTCCCTGTATATTAAAGCCTTCTGTGTTTGTTTCTTCAATGAACTTTTTGTTAGACAGTTAGTGTAAGGTGACATTTGTGATGATTATATGCTGTGTTTGGACAATAGTTTTTACTGACATCTTTGTATATATTGTGATTGTTTATCTCTTTGCTTTTTTATCTATATCGCTCTGAATTCCAATCAATAAAATAATAAATAACTGATTAAATTCTATAGTTGATTTTATTGAAAACAATATGTTCTTACATTCTTTCATGACAGTTTAAAAAATTTTAAGTTATTCTACCCATTTCAAAGAGGAGACATATTGTTGCTATCATATCCTTGCATTTACAATAGCTTGTGAACATAGATAGTTGCTTTCAGATAAAAATGAAACAGGACACTGTTGCTGGTAGCTATGCATATTTGGCATAAGAAATATCTGCTTGAACATATTGAAGGTGTAGTGTTTAATGGGTTTTCTAGTTTTTACCTTCCTGTTCAATCTGTCAAACTTTCCGTTCATTTATTGCCACAAATTTTGATGGTTATTATATACCCCACTATGAAAGCGAGGGTAAACTGGTTTATATCTGTCATTTTGTACCATCTATCTGTTCCAATGAAATTTTTATGCCCCCACCATAGTGGAGGGGGCATTAAGCTTTACCCTTGTCCGTCCCTCCATCCGTTCGTACGTCCCAAAGTTGGTTTCTGTTCTCTAACTTAAGTTTTCCTTATTTAATGAAACTTATACACAATGCTTTTACCACAAAACACAGATCAAGTTTGAATTTTGGTTGCGTCACTTTAACCGTTCTAGAGTTATGCCCCTTTACAAATAGAAAATTTTCTGAATTTTTTTCGTTTCCGTTCTCTAACTTTAGTTTGCCTTAACCAATTGTTATGAAACTTATACACAATACTTACTACCACAAAATACAGATCAAATTTGAATTTTTATGGTGTTACTTTTTTCCGTTCTAGAGTTATGCCCCTGTACGAATGGAAAAATCGCTGAATTTGTTTTTGTTCTCTAACTTAAGTTTGCCTCAACCAAATTTTATGAAACTTATACACAATACTTATTACCACAAAACTCAGATCAAGTTCAAATTTGGGTAGGGTCACTTTTACTGTTCTTCAGTTATGTCCGTTTATAATATAATATGATATGCAAGCTTGGGCATCATCTGTGTCCCATGGACACATTCCACATTTATTTATTTGTTTGTTTATTTATCTGTCTGCACAACACACTTAGAAGGAAGAAGATAGAAGATACCAATAGGGCAGCCAAAATAAAAGAAAGACCAACAAAAAGACAAACAACAACTCACAGAACACTACACAGCAAACTAAAGATTGAGCTACAGGGTCCCTAGTGTAACTCAGTTGCTTCAGAAGGGTGAGAAGTCCACAAGTGGCAATAGTGGTGTTAACCATGTAAAAATCTGGTTTAGTGGCATTGGGTGTTGTCATATGAGGAAAGAAGCTTGGGATTGTGGCTGTGGCAAGCTAGTGAAACAAAGTACTGCACGAACAAATCCTTTGACATTTTACATATTGTTAGAGTTAATGATATTCAGGTTGAGTCCAGTTCTGGTGTGTGTGGCCTCAGTAGCTGAGTGATCAAAGTAGTTGAACTACTGTATCACTAACCTGTCAACGCTGAGGTTGGGAGTTCGATCCCGCACATGGCAGGTGTGCTCGACTCCAATCTTAATTGGCTTGGGTTTGTCTGTTTTCCTACCGGTACCACAGTCGTGGTTCCTTCGGTGCACTCCAGCTTCCTTCACCAATAAAAACAGACCACCAGGAAATAGCACAATAGTGCTGAAAGTGGCATTAAACACCAATTAATCAATCAATCAATCAATTCTGGTGTATTGGAAATTTACCATTCAAACTATCATTATATATCGCAAATAAAAAATAATTTTGACATTATGGTTCATGCCGTCAAACATTGCCTCAGACAAAGAAAATTTGTATATCCCTGCTGCAAAAGAGGATAATATTAGTTTACCTTTGTCTGTCCATCCCTTTGTCCATACGTCCATCTATTCATTTCAGATGTCTCATTTTCCCCAAGAAACTACAGGTCATAGCTTTTTTTGGTATATGGTACAAGCTTCCTCTGGGTATTACATATGTACAGTGTAACATGTTTTTAAATTCCTTCAGTTTTCTTCTTCCTGTTTGCCAAAACTAACATTTTTAAAGTTAAAATTCCATCACATATATGAAATACTTGTCACATTTTGTCAACTCAGTCTACATTTAGTTGGGGTAAATTAGCTCATAGAACATTATGTTAATTCATTTTTGGCATGCAAGTATTTTAATAAAATATTACTAGAAGATGCCCGCGAAATCGCGGTTCAATTGGGCAAGTGTTGAAACAAAGAGTTTTTATACGACCGCAAAAAAATTTTGTGGTCGTATATTGGTATGACGTTGGCGTCGTCGTCGTCGTCGTCCGAATACATATTGGTTTTCGCACTCTAACTTTAGTTTAAGTGAATGGATCTTTTTGAAATTTGACCATAAGGTTAAATACCATAAAAGGAAGGTTGGGATTGATTTTGGGGGTTATGGTACCAACAGTTAAGGAATTAGGGGCCAAAAAGGGGCCAAAAATGAGCATTTTCTAGTTTCCAGACAATAACTGTGGAACGGTGTATGGATCTCTCTGAAATAATACTACAAGTTTCCATACCACAAAGGGATGGTTAGGATTTGCTTTGGGGGGTTATGGCTCAAACCGTTTAGGAATTAGGGGCAAAAAAGGGGGAAAAACAAGGTTGTCCTGGTTAATGGACAAATACTTTAGTACAAAACATAATTTAAAGCAGTGTAAGGGAGATAAATCAAATACATCATTGAAATTATCTCCCTTACACTGCTTTTAAATTATGTATAAAGTAATGGTTAATGAACAATAAAGATAATCTAAAACAGTGTAAGGGAGGTAATCCAAATACAACGTTTTGGTTACTTCCCTTACACTGCTTTTAAATTATGTTTAAAGAAATGCATATTTATAAAGGAAGACCAGTAAAAATATCTGCAAATGTTTTCATCTTTTTTTTTTACAAAAAAATCCATATGAAAGATTTGACACTATATTTTTATTAATTCTATTATAAAATAGATTAAGTTAGCACTATGGTAAATTTAAATGGGTAATTATGGTTGCCAACTCCATTGGAAATTTGAATTGAGATTATGACCATATCTTGAGGGAAAGAATTTTTTTGGGGGAAAAAGGGGGGGGGGATTACCTCCCTTACACTGTTTTAGATTATCTTTATTGTTCAGAAATTAAAAAGAATTATTCTTCAAATATTATTTTTTTTTCAAATTTCAAATATTGAAAAATTTCAAGAAGTAATCTTTAATTGCACAGTATGGCGCATTAGATTTGTAAAATCTTTGATCACATTTATTTATTTGTTATGCCGAATCTAACAGTGTATTTAGATTTTTAATTTTGGGTCCAGTTTTCAAATTGGTCTACATTAATGTCCAAAGGGTCCAAAATTAAACTTTGTTTGATTTTAGCAAAAATTGAATATATGAGGTTCTTTGATATGCTGAATCTAAACATGTATTTAGATTTTTGATTTTTGGCCCAGTTTTCAAGTTGGTCCAAATTGGGGTCCAAAATTAAACTTTGTTTGATTTCAACAAAAATTGAATATATGGGGTTCTTTGATATGCTGAATCTAACCATGTATTTAGATTTTTTATTTGTGGACCCCGTTATCTAATTGGTTCATATTGAGGTCAAAAGGGTCCAAAATTAAACTTTGTTTGATTTCATCTAAAATTGAATTATTGGGGTTCTTTGATATTCCAAATCTAACCATGTATTTAGGTTTTTAATTTTGGGTCCTGTTTTTTAAATTGGTCTACATTGAGGTCCAAAGGGTCCAAAATTAAACTTAGTTTGATTTTAACAAAAATTGAATTCTTGGGGTTCTTTGATTTGCTGAATCTAAACATGTGTTTAGATTTTTTATTATGGGCCCAGTTTTCAAGTTGGTCCAAGATAGGGTCCAGTATTTAAACTTTGTTTGATTTCAACAAAAATTGAATATATGGGGTTCTTTGATATGCTGAATCTAAACATGTATTTAGATTTTTGATTATGGGCCCAGTTTTCAAGTTGGTCCAAATTGGGGTCCAAAATTAAACTTTGTTTGATTTCAACAAAAATTGAATATATGAGGTTCTTTGATATGCTGAATCTAACCATGTATTTAGATTTTTTATTTGTAGGCCCCGCTATCAAATTGGTTCATATTGAGGTCAAAAGGGTACAAAATTATACTTTGTTTGATTTCATCGAAAATTGAATTATTGGGGTTCTTTGATATGCCAAATCTAACCGTGTTTTTAGATTTTTAATTTGGGTCCCGTTTTTTAAATTGGTCTTCATTGAGGTCCAAAGGGTCCAAAATTAAACTTAGTTTGATTTTAACAAAAATTGAATTCTTGGGGTTCTTTGATATGCTGAATCTAAACATGTGTTTAGATTTTTGATTATGGGCCCAGTTTTCAAGTTGGTCCAAGTTGGGGTCCAAAATTAAACTTTTTTTGATTTCAACAAAAATTGAATATATGGGGTTCTTTGATATGCTGAATCTAACCATGAATTTAGAATTTTTATTTGTTGGCCCCGCTATCAAATTGGTTCATATTGAGGTCAAAAGGGTCCAAAATTAAACTTTGTTTGATTTCATCAAAAATTGAATTATTGGGGTTCTTTGATATTCCAAATCTAACTGTGTATTTAGATTTTTAATTTATATCCCGTTTTTTAAATTGGTCTACATTAAGGTCCAAAGGGTCCAAAATTAAACTTAGTTTGATTTTAGCAAAAATTGAATTCTTGGGGTTCTTTGATATGCTGAATCTAAACATGTGTTTAGATTTTTGATTATGGGCCCAGTTTTCAAGTTTGTCCAAGTTGGGGTCCAAAATTAAACTTTGTTTGATTTTAACAAAAATTGAATATATGGGGTTCTTTGATATGCTGAATCTAACCATGTATTTTGATTTTGGACATTGGACCATAATAGGTAAATTAAAAAAATTCAAGTTCTTAGACCACATTCTTTCTGTGTCAGAAACCTATGCTGTGTCAAATATTTAAAACGATCCAAATTCAGAGCTGTATCAAGCTTGAATGTTGTGTCCATACTTGCCCCAACTGTTCAGGGTTCGACCTCTGCGGTCGTATCAAGCTGCGCCCCAGCGAAGCATTTTATTAAATTTCGTGGGCAGTACGTCAACTGAGTATGCGTGAAAGCGTATAAAACATGGATCGATAATGGTCACCGAATTTAGATATTTTCTCAAAAATTGGCGTTTTCTGTGGAAAAAAGATTGTTTCAAAGACAAATTTAAGAAGTACAAAACACTACATTTATACGTCATATCACAAATATTTCCGACTTTGTATGGTGTCAGAGGAGTTGCGGCTCAATGAAATCGGTCTCTTCCTTTAGCAGTATAGATATTCCAGTACAATATGATATTATGTTAAAAGTTTATATTTTTTGCAGACTTATCACAATTAGAAGTAGCAGGTATTGTAATTGGTGTGATTTTATTTGTTGTTATGGTCATCATCTTAGCAGTTTGTGTTTTCAGGTGAGTTTTTAAACTTAGGAGGTATTGCAGTAAAACATCACTGCATTGGGCAAAATATGTAAGACTTGTATAAAGTATGGCTTCTAGTAGCATGGAGTAAACTAAACTGTTACAGACACTATGTAAAAACTTATAGTGAAGGATGCAGCCTCTTGTGTTATCAACAATGAATTAAACAAGTCTAAATTCCAGCAAATTCAGAAAGTCTGCAGTATGTTCTTGTGGTTTTTAATATGAAACTTGTGTTAGTCTCTAAAACGTTTTAAAAATGAAGCTAAAACAAGCAATAGAAATAAAGTATGTCTACATAAATGAAGAAGATAAATCAAAACTCTCACTTTTAAATGTTCATCAACAACTAAAGGACATTCAACAATTAAATAATTAACAATCACTGAATAATCATGAACAGCAACTACTGTAAATTCAGGAATTATTGCAAGTTTTAATTAATGCAAATAATGCAACTTCTTGTATCGCAATAATACGAATCGCATTCTGATATCAAATGAATACATTTGTATTTAGCTTTTCCTAAAATAGCAATAATTAAACTCGCATTTTTGTTCATTCTTCAAAAATTGCAATAATAAATGCACACAATCATTTCTGAATTTACAGTAATACAATTAGTAAATATGTAACATATCCTCTTTTTTCTTCAGTTCTTTTTGTATGGAAATGAAAATAAAATTATTGAGCATGTATTACTGTTCATACAGCAACTCACTATAATGAAACATTTATGTTATTTTGTTAAGGATTGATTGTTGTGGAAAAATTAAAGAGTTTTTCAAACCACCTGAGATAGAGTTACCTGTAGTCAAGATAAATTACATGGTGAGTAAAAATTTGCAAGCCATATTGACTTAATAATCATGCAAGACACCTGTAAATATATTTAGGTTATGATGGGGAAAAAACACTAGCCCCATTTATAATTGATGCATTGTTTTTCGGGGGATAAAAGGAAATGTGGCTAAAACATCAGTGTCTGAATGAGCATCCCTTAAAAGAGACATCAAGAAGTCAACATCCACAGGTATCTATTTGATTTGTTGCACTCTAAATCATGGGGTGTCTAGAAAAGATTGAACAAATAAATCAGAGAATATCAAAGACCACCAATCAACACCAAGTCCTTAAAATAACAGAAGACAAACATTAACTTGGTGCTTGACTTTGGATAGGCAAAAGAGTTAGTTTGTTCACCGTAAACTTTCCTGTTTTAAAAGCTTTTCCAGATCCTTGCATGTGATATGGTTTCAATTGGCAGTCTATAAAAAGAAAAATAACAAAAATACTGAACTCCAATGAAAATATAAAAAGGGAAAGTCATCTATCAAATGGCAAAATCAAAAGCTCAAACACATCAAACAAATGTAAATTTTTGTTACATCATCCCTTGTGACTATGGTTGCTTCACTCCTTTCCAGTCTAATAATGTTAACAGTTTTAAATCAGTGTACCCTTTCTAAGTGGACAATTAAATGTAATTTGTCTATTTGAAAATATCATGGTTCAGTAATTACAGTAACGTTTAGGGTATCTGGATAAAACTAACGATACATCTTTTTTGAAATGTGTGTTTATTAATGGAGTTTTGTATATTATTTAAGAAATGAATATGTCTTTGTGTAATTTTATTGGTGTGTAAAAGCGTTGACCAAAGCACAGGAGTTTAGTATTGGAATGCCTTAAGATTGTTATCTACCATTCAAAAATTTTGATTTTTATGGAACATACACTTAATGTAATTATACATCAATACATATTCTTTTTTCAGGAACATAATAAAGACAGCGGACATGAGACATTTTCTACATCCACATTCAAGTCTACACATACTAATGGTATCAGTGAAAAAGAGAGCCAATATTCTGCTGTCTACAGTAATGCAGGTTATAGCTCAGTGGGTTCACAGAATGAAGACCACTTTGTACATAAAGGCTCTAGTAAAGATGGAAGATCTCAATCTATCGGTGAATCCTTCTCGGATATAAACAGCGGTGAGGATTCACCTCAATCCTCAGGTTGCTCATACGAGTCGTATTCTAGTAGTAGGATGTTATTGAACAGTGAAGAGGATGATGATGGCTATCGAGGGGCAGAAGAAAGTACATATTATGGTAAGATAAAGAATAAAATGAACAATGAATGAGATAGTTTGATAAAGTTAAATTAAACCTGGGGTCTAAAATGGCGACATAAGTTTGAAAGTGGGTGACATAAATATTCTTAATTTAAATTACTAATTGTTAAAGGGTAAAATAAATCCCTCAGTCAAGAATGGCTGAGTGAGTTATAGTTTGATAGAAGGTCAAATAAACCCTTGGTTCTAATTATTTATAAGAAGGATTTTTAATGTGCTCACAAAACTACAATCCCCAGGGAGACATGTCACCCGAGTAACAGTGACTTATTGAATAACAGTCAAAGAAGGATACAGTTGTAAAAAGTCTATCACAAACCAATTGCTATAGGTTAAACCAAAGCCAAAATATATGTTAGTACTTTTTATTTGACGGCAAAAAATTTTGCGGTCGTATATTGGTATCATGTTGTCTTCGTCCGAAGACATTTGATTTCCAGACAATAACTTTACTATTAGTAAATAGAAATCTATGAAATTTAAACACAAGGTTTATAACCACAAAAGGAAGGTTGGGATTGATTTTGGGGATTATGGTCCCAACAATTTAGGAATTAGGGGCCCAAAAGGGGTCCAAATAAACATTTTTCTAGTTTCCAGACAATAACTTGTGGAACGGTGTATGGATCTCTCTGAAATTATACCACAAGTTTCCATACCACAAAGGGATGGCTAGGATTGGCTTTGGGGGGGTTATGGCTCAAGCCATTTAGGAATTAAGGGCAAAAAAGTGAGAAAAAACAAGGGTGTCCCGGTTAATGGACAATTACTTAAGTACAATGTTGTGTTTGAATTACCTCCCTCACACTGCTTTTAAATTATGTATAAAGAAATGTTGTATTGTCTTGAGGTGATTAGCTGTCAATTTATTTTTAGAAGTTACTATTTTGATAATTTTAAAAATGCTGATTAAGGTATATTAATTTTAGCCATGATTATGTATGTCATTTTCCCTTTTAAGTCTTTTATGATGTATTTAAATGGGTTATTATGGTTGCAAACTCCATTGTAAATTTGAATTGAGAGTATGACCATATCTTGGGGAAAAGGGAAGCAGGTTAAAACTTCAAATATTTTTTTTTTTGGAAAAAAAAAGGGAAGGGGGAGGTCAATTCGCAACAGCATAGTGTATTGCACAAAAGCAAAAAATTGAATAAAAATTCAAATCATATAACCAATTCTAAGTTCTTTGACTACAGTTATTCTGTGTCAGAAACCTATTATGTGTCAAATATTGAATTACGATCTAAATTCAGACCTGTATCAAGTGCAAATATTGTGTCCATTTTTGCCCCAACTGTTCAGGGTTGGACCTCTGCAGTCATATCCAGCTGCGCTCGGTGAAGCAATTTATTTTGGTTTGTGTGAATCTCTTCTTGCCTTGATCTTTGTGATAAGCTTTGTAATAGCTGCTGTACAACTATATCAATGCAAGTTCCATTGTCCGAAGGGGCGGACAGGTGGCTGCCAAACAGTGTCTCTTCAATAACATGAAAATGCTGTGATGATTTTTTTTCAAATTTAGATATGTTGTTTTTTGTGACTAAGTGAAGGTCAAGTTCAATTTTCACAATTTTAGTATTTCTCCTTTTTGAGTTATCGCCATTTTTAATATCCAAAAGTGGTATTTTTAAATATTTTTCTCTTGTTATCATATTATGACTAAGCATAGTAAATGTCTTATCTCAAAATAAAAATTAGAGTGACAGATTTATTTGAAAATTTTCTATTTCCTAAGTGGTGATGATTATAAGCTATATTATTAGACATTTTGAAGTTAATTACATTATTAATTATTATATATATGTAATGTTAGAGTACTATGTTAAACCATAGTTCTGTTCAAAGGGAACATGCAAGTATGATTTTCATTATTAATTAGATCTGGGAAATATCTTAGCATATGATAATCATTGGAGTGACAGATTTATTTGAAAATTTTCTGTTTCCTGATAAGATCTGAAGGACTGTTTATATAAAGTTTTAAATTTACTAGTAGGACTGTATAAATGAAGTATGAAATTTACTGTTCATTATTAGTCATTTTGTAGATAATTAAGTCTTTCTAAACCATATATATTCTAACTCCCACCCCCCTTCAATTTGAGAATGTGCTTTTATCTTGTAAACAGTCAAGATCCCCACCCCTAAACCATATATATTCTTGTATGGGACAATAAAACAAATCAAATGAAATATTGGGGGAGTCCCCGGGTTCACCCCCACCCCCTTCTTTTTGAAAACTTGTAAACGGTCAAGATCCCCACCCTGAAACCATATATATTCTTGTATGGAACAATTAAACAAATCAAATGAAATAAAAGCGAGTCCCCTGGGGTCACCCCACCCCCTCCTGTTTGAGAACTTGTAAACAGTCGAGATCCCCACCCCTTAACCATATATATTCTTGTATGGGACAATAAAACAAATCAAATGAAATATAGGGGAAGTCCATGGGGGTAACCCCCACCCCCTTTCTTTTTGATAACTTGTAAACGGTCAAGATCCCCACCCCAAAACCATATATATTCTTGTATGGGACAATAAAACAAATCAAATGAAATAAATATTCTTGTATGGGACAATAAAACAAATCAAATGAAATATAGGGGAAGTCCATGGGGGTAACCCCCCCCCTTTCTTTTTGAAAACTTGTAAACAGTCAAGATCCCCACCCCGAAACCATATATATTCTTGTATGGGACAGTAAAACAAATCAAATGAAATAAAAGGTGAGTCCCCTGGGGTCACCCCCACCCCCTCCTGTTTGAGAACTTGTAAATGGTCGAGATCCCCACCCCTAAATCTTATATATTCTTGTATGGGACAATAAAACAAATCCATGGGGGTAACCCCCACCCCCCTTCTGTTTTGAAAACTTGTAAATGGTCGAGATCCCCACCCCAAAACCATAGATATTCTTGTATGGGACAATAAAACAAATCAAATAAAATATAGGGGAAGTCCCCTGGGGTAACCCTCACCCCCCTTCTTTTTGAAAACTTGTAAACGGTCGAGATCCCCACCCTGAAACCATATATATTCTTGTATGGGACAATAAAACAAATCAAATGAAATAAAAGGCGAGTCCCCTGGGGGTCACCCCTTCACCCCTCCTGTTTAAGAACTTGTAAACGGTTGAGATCCCCAGCCCTAAACCATATGTATTCTTGTATGGGACAAAAAAAACAAATCATATGAAATAAAGGGCGAGTCCCCTGGGGATCACACACACCTACACACCCCCTTCCCTTTTGAGAACTTGTAAATGGTCGAGATCTCCACCCCTAAACAACCATATATATTCCTGTTCGTCATTTCAAGAAGATTTGAATGACGTACAGGGTCAATCCATAGGCGTCACTTATGCATATCACAAACCAATTTGTACTGGACTTTGCCCAATGTCAGGCGACCATGGGAATGACGAATTATTGGAGCTTTGTTGTGGAGACTTGGTAACAGCATCCTGTTACAATTATTTCTTGTTACTGATAAGTTTTATAGATTTTGAAAAGACATTGTATTAATGATAAATAAAATTTTGGATTTTTTTCTTCTTTTCTTTGGTCAATTGTTTGAAGAATTTTGTGGCAAGTTTGTTTGTTATTCTGTAAAAACTAATTTTCTGAATGCTATATATTTTTTTTTTATGAAGTGAACTCCTTTGAAAACTAAGCTTATATTGTCTATTAATAAACATATATTTAGATTTCTGATTTTGGGCCCAGTTTTCGAGTTGGTCCAAATCAAGGTCCAAAATTAAACTGTGTTTGATTTCAACATACATTGAATATATATAGGGTTCTTTGAAATGCTTAATCTTAACCTGTATTTCTTTTCATTATTAATAAGATAATACCACATTGAGGTCCAAAGGGTCCTAAATTAAACTTTTGTTTAATTTCATTAAAAATTGAATTCTTTGGTTCTTTGATATGCTGATTCTAACAATGTTTGAGTGTTAAATCATATCTAATTTTAGAGAACTTAGTCATCACTGGTTGTTCTTATTATATTATTGATTATAATTTGAAAAATTGCATCATATCTTATTTTAGAGAACTATTTATCCAGTTTGAGACATTTCCCTTTGCACAGAAAATATTATGGATAAAATTAACCTGTGTTTCATTTCAACATAAATTAAATATATATAGGGTTCTTTCAAATGCTGAATCTAAACCTGTATTTAAATATTAGAATTTTGGGCCCAGTTTTCAAGTTGGTCCAAATCAGGGTCCAAATTAAACTTTGTTTGATTCAACAAAAATTGAATTCATGGGGTTCTTTGAAATGCTGAATGTCCAATTTCAAATACTTCAGTTCTTTGACCACATTCAGTTCGTGTCACAAACCTGTGCTGTGTCAAATATTCAATCACAATCCAAATTCAGAGCTGTTTTAAGCTTAAATGTAGTGTCCATACTTGCTCAACTGTTCAGGGTTAGACCTCTGCAGGAAAATCCGGTTTGCTGTACATGTCACTCTGACAGACTCTTGTTTTAGATATGACCCTTTGAACTTAGAAATACCTTGTCATTACAACTCCTCCTATATGGTTTATCTTATCTATAAAAAAAAACTTAGTACAGTGTTAGATCATCCTTATATACAGATGTGCATGTGGGCAGGCTTTTGTGGTCCATTGATGTGATCCTTTCAACCTAGAAATTTTGGCAGAACAGACATTGTCATTGCAATGATACTGAGAAAGGTAAATGCATCTGAGACGACATAAAAAAACATCATATAAAAAGTTCAAAGTTATATTATCAACTTCATTGATTCGCAGTAGTTTAGTCACCAGCTTATTCAAACGTCTAGCCACAATGTAGAAGGTACAAGTCCATCTTAACGTACAATTCTAGTTGTATTAAATATATCTTTGTATTACAGAAGACGATTCAGTGAAGAGTTATGTTCAGCAGGATGGAAAAAACTCATCTGAATTAACCTCATCAAATACTACAGAAACTTCAAACAAACAATGTAGTACTACTAAAGAATTAACCTCATCAAATACTACAGAAACTTCAAACAAACAATGTAGTACTACTAAAGACAGTCAACAAGATTCTACACAAACTACACATCAAACAGACTCCGTTAAGACAGCAATCAAAACAAAACATTCATCTCAGGAGGCAGGGTCAATCAAAAGTACTGGTACTGAAGAATGTGTATGATATAAAACACATACCCTGAAAATGCTGCTGTTTTAAAGTAACTTTCTCTGTCACAATGTGTATTAGATTGAATAGTTATAAAAAAAAAAAGAAATGTACAACTATTATATAGAGAAATATAGTCAGTATTTTCATAGTTCCTTTGCCAGATTGTTAAACAAAGTTTTAATGATCAAAAGTGTCAGCTTCTGAGGCAGAACAGTTATGGAAAAACTGTTGCAGTGATTTTATGTGCTAAGTAGTTGATAATCAGTCATCTTAAAGACTTCTTTTATAGAAGTGACCAAAGTTTTGAATCTGTAGCAGGAAGTGATCAATTACATCTATAGATTTATTCTACCTCATATAAGTTTGTAAGATTTTTTCATGATATGATTAATAGAAGACCTTGCTCATTCCCACTCCCTTTTGACCAATGAACAGAATGCATAATATCAAGACTCACATATGAGATTTTTTTTTGTCTCGCCTTGACAGAGAAAGCGAGACATAGTTATGCTGTTTCCGAACATGGCGGCGGTGTCAACAAAATATTAGTTTGTGATTAGATCTAGTTCTTGAAGAACCACTAGTGGTAGGTCAATGATATTTGGTATGCAGTTTTAGCATTGACACATCTCATTACCATGTAGATTATTTGGCCCTGTCCCCTCAGTCAAGGTCTATTGACTTTGAAACTTTTCATAGTTTACATGTATTAGTTTGTGATAAGGTCAATTTATGGGGAACCACTAGTGGTAGGTCAATGATATTTGGTATGCAGTTGTATAAGCATTAGCACATCTCATTTCCATGGAGAATATTTGGCCCCGCCCCCTCAGTCATGGTCTATTTACTTTGAAACTTTTGCTTAGTTTACATGTATTAGTTTGTGATTTAATCATGAACTGCTAATGTTAAGTCAATGATACCGTATAGCGGGTTATTTTCGTGGGGTGTTTATTTTCGCTTATTTTGGCGGGTCAGGAGAAATCGCGAAAATAAATTCCGCGAAAATTTATGCATACGTTCGATACTTTCTAATAGCTAAAGCGTTTTGTAAACTATCTATTTTTTTTCGTTCGACGGATCAATAACGGTTTGTGTTAATTTAAACAATATAAATGCCAAATGCCATTGTTCACTGGCTATCAGGTGTTAATTAGGTTTTTTGGTTACATTATAAAATGAATAATAATATAAGAGTGTAAGGTACGATTGTCAGGTATTTTATCCTTATAAATTAGTGTCAAATTATATAAGAGTTGCAAGTCACTCATGATAATTTTATAATTTAATTAGTACATCAAAGGTCCGGTCAATTTCGTAACTAACCAATCGTAACATTTACAAAAAGTTTGTACACCTGTGACAAATAACTATGTACCGGTATTCTATTGATTGAATGTATCAAAATATAATCCATAAATAAGACAACATGCAGGTAAAACAATCATTTAACCCGTGTTTGTCCATTTTTAAAACTTTTTAACTGCAACCATTTCAGTATCCGCCAAAATATTTAATTGGAATTAAAGAATCCACCAAAATAAAAACCACCAAAATTTTTCCTATACTTTGTTGCCCCTAAATCGCGAAATTTTACACCAGCGAAAATAACCCGCTATACGGTATTTGGTATGCAAATTTATTGGCATTTGCAAGTATCGTTTCCATGGAGATTATATAGCCCCACCCCTGATCATGGTTCATTGACTTTGAAACTTTTACATAGTTTACAAGTTAATGTTTGTGTTTAGGTTTGTTTAAAGGGAACGACTTATAATAAGTCAATGGTATTTGGTATGCAGTTGTATTAGCATTGGCACATCTCATTCCATGGAGATTGTTTAGCAATGTACCTTCAGTCATGGTTCATCGACTTGGAATATTTGCATAACTTACATGTTAAAGTATTGCTATTTTAATTTCAACACTTGCATTATCAAAATTACAAAAAGGCGAGACATATCTCTGTGATAACAGTTTATGATTGTAAAAATCAGCAAAATTGTAAGGCAAGTCGATGCATGTTGCAAAACTGAATTCTTATTCACAAAAATATTATTAAATTTTATGCATTAAAGTCTAAATCAATGTTCAATCTATCTCTAATAATTTAATTTTCAAAACTGGTATTGTGGTAAGAAGTCTTAAAGGAATGAGTTTTGTAGAAAATGAATTGCTTGCACCATCAAACTGCATACTAAACTTTACAAAACATCATTAGAAAATTAAGAACTTGTATGTCATCATGATAATATAAGTAACTGATGAAATGCTAATGGTAAATTTAATACTATCTATAAAGTTATTCTAGGATGTTATAGAAAAGATGTAAGAACTCAAGGGGGAAAAGGGAATTATAAACCACGGATGCTTAGATGTTCATAATGTTCAAAAGTTGTACATAAATATACTCAACATATTATACTCTGGTTTATCATGTACATAAAACTACTTTATATAATTCACTATGTTTTTTTACTTGTACATAAAAAATACTGTATATGTACTAATATGTGTTTTTTTTGTATTTTGAATGTTTGTAAATACACATAATCAATATCTCATATCAGCATTATCTTTTGTACTAAATGTGTTTTCCTGTGATAAGACTGTAAATTCTGAAATATGTGTTTTTGTTATTTGGAAAGAGTGCAATACAATAAGACTTGCTGCAATAAAACTGATATTTTTCGTATTTTTATTAATTCTTGTTACTAAAATTGGCATTTTTATCTATTTTTATAATTTTTGTTTAAAAATATTAGAATGACCAACATAAATATTTAACTTTCATCCTTGAAAATGACATAAATATCAATAAAATAAATAAATCCAAAAACAGTGATTTTCCCATGCAGTGCCATTCCTGATTTCAAATTTTGGTGGTATCATCCTGATTTTCATGCCTTAACCCAAATCCTGATATTGGGATTGTAAAACAAATCAAAATCCTGATTTTCACATAATCTACCGCAAAAAAATTGAAGGTTACTGATTTTTTAAGCTTTTCTTATCAATTTCTATAAATCTATAATTTTACCGGGCGACATATTTATGACAAGTTTACGACCCCAAGTTAATCAACGCATCATAATTTGTTGTTACAGGTAATCGGCTTATCAGTTTGGTCATAATTATCCTCAAAATTAATTAATTTGTAAATAGAATTGGTCAGTCGGCATTTCAATTTTCATCAATGCAACGTTTACCATAGTATCATGACAAAAACGTAAACTAGAAGAAGAAAACTATAATGAACTCATTATGAAACATCGTTTATCATGAAATCCATGAAATTTTTTGAAATCAAACATGTTTCTGTCCAGTTCTGATTAAAATCGACGTCATATTGTATTTACTTCTACTGTGTATAAGCCCTTCTGGTAGGAGCACCTTTGAATACCAAGAAAGATAACTCAAATTTTATCCATTTTCTCATTACTGATAAACTCAAGATCTGTCTCCATCCTTCTAACTTTAGGAAATTTAGGTTTAGGTCTTTGGAGGATGAAAAGGGGGTCTTCATTTTGTATCCTTTATTTTTTAGGCCATTTTCCTCTATTCTTAAGTTATTTTGCCAATTAATAAGTACAAGAATCATGCAAATAAAATAAATAAAGGCTTATTATCTCATCATCAGTATACCACAAGAAAAAATGAAGAGCTATGAGACATCATTTCAAGAGTTTAAAACAGTGCACACAGAAACGCCATAAACAAATCTGGTCACACACTAAATCCCCCATGGGAATTTTCCAAAGTTGGCAGGTCTGGTTAAATAGACATGTGATGGATAGAATCAGTTGTCAGTACTGTAAATGTTTCAGTGTTTGTCACAGAGATTTGCAAAATTAGACTATGCAATGATTTTAGAATTGACAGTACATTTTAACTTTGTGGCAGCAATCTCTATCAGGATTACAAGTTATCAGCTGTTATTATAAGAAGAACAAAAGAACAATGTACATCACTCAGTTTTTGGCTAGTAACTCTTCCTAATTTGTTATAAACAGATATAAATCATTATGATAATTTTTTATGTAAAGGAAATGAAATCTAAGGATCTGTAATCTATGTCTTAGTAAAGAATGTTAAAACATATTACATGTATTGTACTGGTTTTAGATGCTGAATTCAAATCTGAGGCATTCAACTATGGCAAGATTATTTTTTAAAGTTTTGGAAATGGATTGTTCTTGTTAGTTTCTGAAGGAGTAGATTCAGTAGGGTGGCCCCAATTTCCCCTTATGGAGGACAATGTGTGTTTTTTTTCTCACAAGTTTTATGACTTTTTACTGCTGTGTCTGCCCTTTTAGGCATAAATTTTCAGGTTTTTTTTTACATTCATTTGTTATTAACAATAAACACTTGCAGGTCTAAAATAAAATAGAGTGAATTTTTAAAATTCTTTTCCTAACCTTTCTGTGACAGCCTTTATATTGTATCATAATTGAATAATTAAATAAATATACTGCAGATTCACCCATCTAAATTATAAAAAAAAACAATGATTATAGTAAAAGAAAAATTATAATAAAAACAATGGTTAAATTAAAAGAAAGTACTGTTTCTAGAACACTTCAGAAAGCTCTAAGTACAGTGTGTAAAAGATGAGAAGTTTTACTGACTACTCAAGTTCTAAAGTTTTTTTTCAAGATCTGTATTATGAATCTCATTTAAATTCAAGCTTCCCATACATATGGAAATAAACTCCTCATATATACCAGGATTGAAATTTTGTATTTGCGCCAGACGCACGTTTTTGTCTACAAAAGACTCATCAGTGACGCTCGAATAAAAAAAAGTTAAAAAGGCCAAAGATATAAACCTATTGGTTTTTTGGTTAATAGGTTAAAGCTCAAGGTCAAGGTTACTGTGACTAAAAATTGAAAAATGGTTTCTGTATGGTAGCCTTAATTTCCCTTGTTTGATTAGAATGAAACTTATACAGATGGTTGATATAGGGATTGGGGAATAATCCTATTAATTTGAGAGTTAACAGATTTAAGGTTAAGGTCGCTTACTAAAAATATATTTATTTCAAGAGTTGGTTTCGGGATGGTATCCCACTTTGACCGCTTTGAATTATACACATAAACACATATACATATATACATATTTATGTAGGTGAAACATGATCATAATATTAGTACATAGTATTTATTTGTCCCTCCAAGCATACTAGTATTTTGAACCCTTGAAATAAAATTGTTTTCTCTAAATAAATTTTCAATTCAGGGAGCATTAGTTGGTAGTGGCAGCTTTTTACTTTTTCTACAAGTCTGTGATGCTTTATTTGAAAGGGCAGTCTGTATAATTATATCTTTGGTGTTTTATTTAATAGGGCAGTCTGAATGCATGAAGCCATGGTCCTTCATTTAACACACTAGTCTTGATACTAGTACATGTAACTTTATGTTAACTATTAGTCTTAGTATCCATGATGCTTAATTTGACACATCAATATGAATATAAAGAACCTTTTGTCCATTATTTGACATGTCAGACTGAATACTGACATTTTGTGCTTAATTTAAAACATCAGTCTGATTATAAGTACTGTTCATCTTTTATTTGACACAAGACTGAATATAGATATAGATACTGCCTTTGATTTTTTATACAATGCCTGTAGAATTCAGTATCTCTAGTGTTTTGATTTTCCTATGCAACATTCGATAGTTTCTTCAATCAAGTTTTTCTTTCCATAGTTCTTTGATTTTTTTATATCTCAGTCTTAACATCTATACCCTCTTGTATATGACTGGTGTAGGTTATATTATACATGTACAATTTTATATGCATCTCACGAAACATCTATGGCCCCACTGCATTTTTGCGCCTGTCCCAAGTCAGGAGCCTCTGGCCTTTGTTGGTCTTGTATGATTTTTAATTTTGGTTCGTTTATATGTTTTGGAGTTTAGTGGGACGTCCATTTTCACTGAACTGGTGCACATTTTTATTTTGGGGCCAGCTGAGGCCCGCCTCTGGGTGTGGGATTTTCTCCCTGTGTTGAAGACCCATTGGTGGCCTTCGGCTGTTTTCTGCTCTTTGGTCGGGTTGTTGTCTCTTTGACACATTCCCCATTTCCATTCTCAATTTTATAAGAAGTTATACAAGATATTTTTTTTTTTTTTTTTGCACACTTTAAATAGCTGCCTTGTTTTTATGTATAGTTGTTCTTGTGCATATCTATAAGATGATGAGAAATGTTGTTTTTTTTTTAAATTTTGTAATGATAATGATCATGTTCTTTTTATATTTTTGCAACAAAAGATGTGTTTATGCACTTTTATATACAGTTTTATAGAAGCTAATCAACACTATAAGTATGTTTTTATTTCTGTTTATTCCCTTTTAAGCTCATTTGGATGAAAGGGTTAGTGTGAGCTATTGCCATCACTTTGCGTCTGTTGTTGTCCCTTAACTTAAACAATCAAAGTGATGAAAATCACTCATGGAAAGATTGAAAGAGTAGTTTGAATAATTTCAAATCATATTTAGGAATGGTCACTATGGTGTGGACAAAAAAGGAAGTATTGCTGACAATTGCATTAACTGCAGGTCTTTGGAAAGAAAAACACTTTTCCAGTAGATAAAATGAGCAAAATGTGAATCAAATTGAATGATAGGGGTCCCTTAATTTGCAAAACAATTTCATTTAGATTGCAGTTTATATCTTAACCAAATAATGTTCCCTGTTGCATTTTATCTTTTGAAACAAAAACAAAATTGCAAATCAAAGATTTTTCTAATAAAGTTTACCAATTATCCTTGTAAGACATAGGACCAACAGATAGACTTGAAGCTAAGAACTTTATTGTGTCAAAAAAATAATCTAAAAAGGATGTTTTGTGGTATTTTGTAAGTTGAAACATAGGCATACCATTTTTCTCCACTGAGAATTGCTTATTGATTTTGAAAACAATTATGATTATATGACATTGAAGATTAAAAGTTGTAGAGTGTATTTTAATCAATTTATAATTTAAATATTAATTTTTTCAGCAAAGGGCATTGAAAATGTACTTTTTAAACATAATCAAATTAAAAAACTTATTTTTTTGAAATGTGGATTCTTTCCTGATTGCAAAAATATATACACACTTCTTATATTCAAATGACTAAAATTGTTAACAGACATTTGAAGGGGAATAAACTAAAAAAAACTGTTTGTTCTAATTAAGAGTTTTAAAATTTTACTAACTGTATCAAGCCAATCACTGATAAAAAATAAGTGAACTAACCTTAATTGTTGATTAGTTACAGATAATTATTGCAGATTTATTAAGTAAATTATAGGCCTTACTTGAATACCTTTAATATATCTTTATTTAGATTTCATTTTTTTTTTTCAAAAGATCTTGTTAATCCTTAATTAACTGATTAATCATTTATCTTTCAGATATAATTTACAGAATCACTTTATGTATTGTAGATCAAAAATAATAGGCAATGAATAAATCTATCATCTCTATACTGAAATATACATTTGTGTATTCAATAATGAGGTCAAATATTTGTGTATTGAGAGTGTATTGAGATGTATATTGAAGGGTCTGTATAATTATGTAAGACTGAGGTTGATAAGTTATGTGGTCAATATGATTGGCATTTAAGGAGGTGGGGCATTGTAATTAAGGTCCCACCTTGTCTCTGATTGTTTGGTGATCATGACAATTCTCAATCATACTAGTATTGTATCATTACTCAATTACCTAATCAAAATGATAAAAAAGCCTGCACATCAACACACCTTAAAGACATACATACTTGAATGAACTGCTCCAAAAATATACCCAAATTTTTCACAGTTTATATGTGCATATGTGCACAGACATGAGAAATATAGGGAACTATATTTCAGTGTGTATACATTTTGTAGATTTAGTAGCTAACCTGTGCTTAGTTACTTGTTATTAGGGAGGCCGTTGCCTTAGGAAAGATTTAGAACAAGTTCCAATCTTTCCAAAAATCTTCTCATCTCTGAAACTTCTTGGCATATTGGAACAAAACCATCATTGGGGTATTTTTTTCATATGTTTGAGATGTCTATATCCAGTTGAGTTTTATCATTTGTTTATGAGGTAGATAGACACAGATATTAAATGTGATTTTGACTCTAATATTTTATGTGATTTGGACACAAATATTAAATGAGGTTTTGACACAACTGGAGACAAATAATTTTTTATAATAAAGCCTTAGGAAAGATTTAGAACAAGTTCCAATCTTTCCAAAAATCTTCTCATCTCTGAAACTTCATGGCATATTAGAACAAAACCATCATTGGGGTATTTTTTTCATATGTTTGAGATGTCTATATCTAGTTGAGTTTTATCATTTGTTTATGAGGTAGATAGACACAAATATTAAATGTGATTTTGACTCTAATATTATATGTGATTTGGATAACAAATATTAAATGAGGTTTTGACACAACTGGAGACAAATAATTTTTTATAATAAAGCCTTAGGAAAGATTTAGAACAAGTTCCAATCTTTCCAAAAATCTTCTCATCTCTGAAACTTCATGGCATATTAGAACAAAACCATCATTAGAATGTTTTTTTCATATGTTTGAGATGTCTATATCTAGTTGAGTTTTATCATTTGTTTATGAGGTAGATAGACACAAATATTAAATGTGATTTTGACTCTAATATTATATGTGATTTGGATAACAAATATTAAATGACGTTTTGACACAACTGGAGACAAATAATTTTTTATAATAAAGCAAGTTTTATTTTATGTATTCTGTGTTATTCTTGAAATGTATCAGCATTACAATTCTAAAGCTCATATGATACCCAACAACAGCCTCCACCCCTAAATATAGACTTGATTATAGCATCAACGAACATTATAAAACTAATGAATGGAAACTTCTACTCTTTCAATTTATGTCTTCCCGTCAACAAAGGGAAAAAGATTGTTCTCGAAGTATTTGACCTCAACTTTTCACCCAAATACAGAAAAACCTTTTGGAGTGCCCAGTCAAAAAACAAAAAAAATGGTCCATGGTTCCCTTGACCCCTTACTAAATCATGCATGAATAGTAACTGAAGTCCTCTATTAGACTTTAATATTAGAATTCAATATGGTAATATTCCAAAATTTATGATAAAAAGGATGACTTCTCCTTTCAAATTGTTAATCTTTCTTTCTTTGATGACCATTTTTCCTCGACTCCTCCTTATAAAGTGTATATTTCTTAGTTGGTTTCGAAATGCACATGTTTGGAGTGAATATTTGAAATTCAGTGAATATTATCACTAAAATACTTCTACAGCAGCATTAGAATTATCATAAATGGTTCAAAGGTACTAAATTTTGTAACAAAATTCCTAAAGTTTACAGCATTGAAGATGTGTATATATTATAAACATACAAGTCTGTTGTGGGGACATTTTCTAGATTAAGGTAAATGGGGTTTGGTCTGTAAATAAGTAAGTAGGTTAGTATGTAAGTATTTATTATAGTGCATGTGTATCATTACATACATTTCTACAAATATATACATAGCAATTTAAGATGTTCACCCTGCCCATTGGATCTATATGTCACTTTAGCAATATTGTATCATATTCGAAGAACGTAAAGAGTTTACAAAATAGAAAATTAGAATTAGAAGTGAAGTTATTTCTTCTGTGAAATAATGCTGAATTTACAAATTTTGCAATACAATTCATAAACTTTTTTTTTTAGTATACATAGAATCCCATCAAAAAAGGAACATCACATCCTAATTTTTACGGTAACGTAAAAATTATAAAGCCCATGAATTTCGATACGACCCATTGATACGTTGTATAAAGGGTTTCTTAAAGGATATCAACACTGTAGTAAGATCTTTGAATATTGTTTTTATCGGTACTCATATTGATTTTGTTTTTGATAAATTAAAACATAACTGAATATGTATGGCTATACATTTACGAAATCTTATGGTCCTACATCCTGTCGATATAATTTACTTATAATTTAGCATTGCACAAGGTCATTCTTTTCTCAGACTGTTTATGGAGTCTTTTCACTCAATCCGTTTGATGTATAATGGGGCATAAGAGCCGCCGAAAAGGGGAGGTCAGGGGACAACTTTTTGTTAAAAAAATATTGAAAATAGTGATAGAAAAAAAAAATGAAAATGAACGAGGACACTGACTAAATTTCAGACTATTGGACTAGAAAAGGTTTTTATTAGTCCCCTACCGACGAAGTCGAAAGGGACTTTAGGTTTGCACTCCGTCCGTCTGTCTGTCTGTCTGTCTGTCTGTCTGTCTGTCTGTCTGTCCATCCATCAGTCCGGCAAATCAGTTTTCCACATTTTTTTTCTTCGTTTTTGAAGATATTGATTTGATATTAGGTATATTGTTTTATCATGACAAGTTACAGATCAAGCTAAAATTTTGTTCTGTTCTGACGGTTTTGTGCAGAGTTATGGCCCTTGAACTTAGAAAATTCACTCAAATAATCAGTTTTCCGCATTTTTTTGTCATGCTTGAAGATATTGATTTGATATTTGTTATATAGTTTACACCATGACAAGTTATAGATCAAGTTAGCATTTTGTTCCAGTACAACGAATTTTTAACCGATAGGGGACTATGTATTGCCAGGCAATACTCACAAAATGCTTGTTTTTTTAATGTTTTTTTCCTTGTCACTTTCAGAAGTATGCCTCCCACTTTTCATTGTACCCCCAAGCCACTAGTGGACTGATTGATACTTTATTCTGTGAAAATACATGTTCAAATTGATGGAAATTGACAGCGAGATGAAAGGGCACCTCTCAATGTCAAAACAATGTTAATTGTTGAGTCAAATGCACTTAAGGATGTACTTAGGTCAGGTTTTGGAATTTTTGTCAGATGTTCGGACGCCTTGGTTTTTTTCCTACGATACCGGGTAACACATTTTGCCCCACTACACCAATTTTTCTTTTCATATAAGACTTCAATAGCTCATAAAAGGTAATTTACCAAAATTTAAGCAGATTCTAGATTTCTTTCCTTTCGATTTGAGACCCAAATAATACCAATGTAAATATAAGGTAAAAGTCCGAGTCAGCCTTTTTCCCGACATTTAAAAAAAAAATATCTCGAAAAGGATCTCCATAACCTATCAATATTTTTAGCTTATTTTGTCCCTTAACTAATGCTCTTCTGATTTCAGTATCAATTTTAAATTCTAGATTTTTTTAATTTCACCTAAGTACATCCTTAAATCCTTCAGAACATAACAAAACAAGGAAAATTAACTATTCTACTTTGTCAAATTCTATCGAAATTGCAGTTAAGAACCATTTTTGTACAACTACCATGTAGACATATGTACATAAATACACCAAAATATTGTTGGAAACTCAAAGTTTGATAAAGTGAATTTTAGTAAATATTGGAAGACATTTTGAAAAAAGAGGCAGAGGATACCAATTAGACATTCACAAGTCGTACATTTCTAAGTCGTGATGAAATGACAACGTAATGGCAAAACTCGAAAGACGCCGAAAAGACAAACACAAAAAAATTAACAAATCTCTCGAAAAGGAGCTCCATAACCTATCAATATGTTTAGCTTGTTTTGTTCCTTAACTAATGCTCTTCTGACTTAAAGTATCAATTTTAAATTCTAGATTTTTTAAATTTCACTTAAATCCTTCAAAACATAACAAAACAAGGAAATTAACCATTCTACTTTGTCAAATTTTATCACAATTGCAGTTATGAGTCATTTTTGTACAACTACCATGTAGTTATATGTACATAAATACACCAAAATATTGTTGGAAACTCAAAGTTTGATAAAGTTAATTTTAGTAAATATTGGAAGACATTTTGAAAAAAGAGGCAGAGGATACCAATTGGGCATTCAAAAGTCGTACATTTCTAAATCGTGACGAAATGACAACGTAATGGCAAAACACGAAAGACGACGAAAAGACAAAATCAAACAAATTAACAAAACTTTACATAGAAAAACAGAAGACTGACCAACTAGAACCAAACTAAAAACTTGGATGATACCAGGTGTTCCGAAAGGGTCAGTCGATCCTGCTCCACTAGTGACATCCGTGAAAATTTGAGAAATAAATTAAGAATAAACAAACTATGCTTTTCTCTATCAGTTATTTCTCGGTCGGTCAGTTCTAAAGCAGGAAAACTCAAATGTATAGGTTTAAATCGTCAGGCAATTGATTGTTTCAGATTTTGCAATGTTTGCAAGTCAATGTTTACGTTTTTTGAGTCATCTTTTTAAATAACTAGCTAGTAGAAAAACAATGCACTGCCCTTTAAGTAACAATGAAATACCTCGAGCTCGTAGTCATTATACATAGTGGACGGTCGTAGTTCATATCAGTGTGTTTAGTCGACGACATACACAACTGTTTTCTATTTTGTAAGATATTAAAATGACTTCAGTTGGGTACGTACTTTGATTAATATGTATTGAGATTTTGTAATAACTTTTTTTTAAGTTTTCCTTTTTACCCATGAGCAACATGCCTTTTTTTCGCTGTTAGTTTGGGAATTGAATTGATTTTTATTCTTATGTAAGAAATGTTCAGAAATACAGATGGAATGGTATTTTATTCTATGACTCTCATTTTATACAAGTAGAAATGTGCATACACAATTATTTTGCAGCCCTGATCCTGAGGAAAAGGCTGCCGGTAGTAAGTGTTTGTATTTTGTTTTTCTATAGAAAGAATGCGATGGTTTACTGTACATGCGACAACAATCTCATCTCATGATAAACGTCGAAAACAGTCTTATATTACAATAAAACATTTTTTATAGATATTTTAGATATCAATGTATCGACCATTTGTTTAATCTGCAAACGAAAAATGATGACAAGATGTAAAACAAAGTATAAAAAAAGATAGAAAAAATATTCTTTTTATTTGAACTTTTCTTCTTAACTTGCTATTTTATATTACAATTCTATAAATTATCAAAACTATAAAAAAAAAAAGCCATTTCAATACAATAAATGGTAAATTCTACGCAATAGGTTTTCCAGTTATATGGATACTATACTCTCCAATCAAATAAATGACCAAGTTCTCTTTTAGCGGTTGTACCCCCTCCTTCCACAGAAAAGAATGGACCAGCAAAGGATCAAAATCAGGCCGAATTCGTAAGGTAAGAAAGATTAATTGTCTTGTTGAAAAATGTTTGAGATATGAGAAGACAACTATCTGTATATTGATACAGTTTACATATATGCATTGCTATTTGGAAAACAGCATTTGTACAACTTAATTAAAGATGCAAATTCCTTTGCTGAAAATTTAATTGGATTGTTGTATGGGAAACACTATGATACTAGTTGTGTAAACTTACTTTACAATTTTTAAATTGCTGTCTATAAGTTCAGATTCAGATAGTTCTAAAATGGGGAATAATTTCCGGGTAAAATGTTTAGCGGAGGAGCAAAACGGACTTTGTAAGGTACCTAAACTGATTTTTATAGTGTGTTCTTATGTTGTACTGTTACATCACTGTCCCAATTTAGGGAGGGTTTGCGCCTACAAACTAGTTTAACCCCGCCACATTATATATGTGCCTGTCCCAAGTCAAGAGCCTGAAGTTGAGAGGTGGTTGTTGTTTGTTGCTGTTTATCATATTTGATTTTCGTTTATTGTTTTGTATAGTGTGTTCTTGTGTTATGCTGTTGCATCACTGTCCCAGGTTAGGGGGAGTGTTTGGTGCCATCTAACTTGTTTAACCCCGCCACATTCTGTATGTG